ATTTCCTCGATAGTTAGATCGCAGGAAAACGTTCTACCTCCATTTCCGATATAAGAACAGCGATGGAACAATGAAATCCGACATTCTTGAAGATATTTTTCTCAGAAACGTCGGCTCCGCCGCGGCAATTGATCCTTCATCACACCAAACGGACAGTACGAAATTTTACGAAAGCTCCGATGTGAAACGAAATTACGAGATTTTTTTCCAGAATAAGAGACACGCTGATCTTTTATAGTGTCATCGATGTACGAAACTGAACTGACTACTGAACGACGAACAATGAACTTTATAAAAATTCCTTTCGTGAATTGAAGAATTTCTCGCAACGGCACGCTCAAAATCAACGCCTGCTATAATTAATTAAAAAGCAATGCAATGGAAAGCCGTATTTTTTCCCTTAGATTTGCGTCTTCACTATCCTTTGTTTATTCTTTACCAATGTTTTTCTCATACTTGGAACTACAATCCCGAAAGTAAAGCGAGTTTCATTTTCTCAGTAGAAGATGAAAGAGGTAGGCGCGCTTGTCGCGCTTTATTCTACTTATTCAACGGATTCGTCCGGATTTCTACTTAGCGTCTGGCGCTCGCCGTCGAGCGCGTTTAAGTTTTTTCCACTGGCACTGCGACGTGATTCACGCAACGATGTCGGCTTATTTTACTGAACGACGTAAACGCGGCCATTCACAAAAAGGAGGATGGAAACTTTCTAGACTAATATAAATCTCCATTGTCGAGGAACGCTTGATTTAGGTGTAGCTACTGAGATTTTATGTATTTGCCACAATTCGTCCATTTCTATTTTACGTCGCGCGTTCGTTATTTATACAGTTGGATTTTTTAAAGAAACAACAAAATTCTAACAATATATTATTAGCGAAAATAAACGATAAAATAATCAATTATTGTACATAAAAAACGCAAATACTCTTTTCGAAACATTGTAAAAAACGTATTGAAAAAACATTATAAATGTACAGAGATTGACAAATTGAAATGTTTGATGATATATTTTTCGTTAACTGCCAGAAATGTAATATGATTATTAAACTTGTAATATGATATGTATGAGTCTATTTGATGTTCAAAAATAACAACAACTGTATTTTCAACCACGAGGATAAAACCATATTTATTAAACTAAAATTGGTAAATTTGTGTACAATATCGCGTAAATTCAACAAAACGAAATCTATTGATTTATCTACAGTAATCTCTACATGTATACATTAATCCCATTGATCACGCGCGATTTCATATGTACGTTTATTCATAATCGATATAACATTAATAAATCATTCACTGTTTATAAATTATAACTATTTGTAATATCATCGCGGTATAATGCAAATTTATGCAAAACCGGACTTGTTCAATCTCAGATGTTTGCATTCGTTTTATTGACATTGTAATTCACATTCATATGACAGAAACTATCGCTTTTCTTATATTATGCATGCACTTTATGCATACCGCTACCAGGGATAAGTAGCGGCGTAATTAGCGTGGTGTTAATAGTTTGTACTACTTGTTTGATACAATTCGCTTTCTTCTGCCGTGTAACTCGCATTGCCTCGTTGAAACTCCACTTTGTCGTCTCGCGAGAACAATAGTATAATTTATATGATTTCCTAAAAGCACAAAGTGAATACAGCCAACGTCTCTGGAGAGATTTATTTGCCTTTAGCGTATAAAATCGACGATAGTGTTTCAAAAAGCTCGCGACATGCAGCATTATTGAGTTAATTACATGATAATTTGCTGAAATATCTTATAAGAAAAAAGAGAAATTTAACATGCAGTATGTCTCATCTAATAAGAATAGCGGAAATATATGAGTCTAACATGGAAAGAATTCAAAGAACAGTTTTTTGTGCTAAAGAATCCAAAAATTTGACTAAATACAGATACATCTGAAAATAATATTATTGAATTATTAAAATAATTATATAGGACTGCTTGTTCCTAAAATGTCAAAATATTTTGCAGCATTGCTCATCATATTTAAACGTCCTATATATACAATATTTATATATGTAATTATTTTGATAGCTTATTAAAATTATTTTCAAATCTATATCTAAAATTTTAAATATTAAAAAAAAAAAATTTTTAATATAAATCCGTCTTTCCCCCTCCCCTTGTATCATAAATCATGAAAAAGATATTAAATAAATATTAAATTAACAATTTATTCAAATAATTTGTATTTTTATTGAAAGCTACATTTTTGAAAAATAAATAATTTTACGTTTAAAACCGTGTATTGTTGTCAATTTAATTTCATTGATAACACAAAGAATGAATTTTTTAACTAAAAATTTAACTAGGTATAAATCTGAAAATAATTTTGTTAGACCATCAAAACAATTAAGTAGGACGCTCAAGCTGGTTGCTAGATGTCAAAACTTTTTGCAGCACTGCTCATTATACTTCAGCGTTCTACATAATAATTTTAATAATCCAGCAAAGTTATTTTCAGTATCTAGCTAAATTTTTTAGATACTTCAACAAATTATTCTTCCCATATTCATTCGAAACTACATTTCTAACCACATATTCATGATGTATTTCTGCAGATCTCTTTTTCAATTTTATTTCTACCTTTGCACCAAGCGCACCTTATTCGTCGACGCAACGACGTATAACAATAATGCGAAAAACAACGATCGTTTCTGTGATATACACACTCTCATTGTATAATACATCGCGCAGTGGCGAGCATTCGTTGCATAACAATTTGAGGAACATATTAAACGGAATAAAATAACGAGCATTTAGCACAGAGGAATGCGTGGCCTCTAACTTCTGACTTGCACTTGCTTTGCCGGACAGAATCCATGAAGCCGAAAATCCTCGGATATCCCGCATCCTCGTTGCTCGTACGCTACGGTTTCGCGCGTCTATTCTTCCCCCGCTTTGCGGCTCGACGCCGCTGCCACAATATGCACGCATCCGACGTTACAATAAACGGATGACGAGCAGTATCCTACGTGTTTGGATCCCGCAGCTACATTGGGCGGAAATTTATACGCTATAAGGCGCACACGCCGAATCCATATATCCAGTTACTAACGAGACAGTACGAGCAAGCCGCTAACAGTTGCATTAAATAAATGTGTACGTTATTGTTTTACACTGAGAGAAATGTTATGTATAATTCATTTTGTTAATTCATTTTGTTAATATGCGATTAACAAAAACTTTCTTACTTTTTCATTTAAAAAATTGTATTGTTCAAATTTGGATTGGAACAACAAAATTTTTCATTCTAATCAAATTTGTCGTTCTGATCAAAATTTGATTAGAATAATCAAATTTTAATTAGAATAACGAAATTTTGATTAGGACATGCAATACAATTTTTAAATTATGAAAAAATAAGACAATTTTTGTTAGTCGCATATCAATAAAATGGATATACGTACCAAACATTTCTCTCATGTATACTCATGTAAATATTTACATATTTTATGAAATCGTGCTTTTTTAAGCACAGTATTAAAATATCAACGCGATATTCTCATTTAAATTCTTAATGAAAAGAAAATTTTACAATTGTAACATCCTTAACGATATATTCATAAACTTTTGAAATAGCTGCATACGAAGCATTTTTGAGACAATGTCTTATGTAGTAAGAAAACGATGTTGGCGAACAAATAAGGTATGTTGAGAGAAGAGAGTACTTTGGAGCAGCCTTTATTCTCCGCGCCTTTTACACGGCTTCGTCATCGCTCAACATATTGCGAATTTCCTGACGACGTTGTGGTTGGAAGTTTGCGAGTATTTGACCTTAACAACACACCATTTCACGCACCTATCCTTCCTGTATTCTATGACACGACAGGGTCGCTGTAAACGTGTATCCGGCGTTATAATAAACGTTGATGGGCCTCATCGCTCGCAGCTACAGCTGAATTCCGCGCGCTCGTTTTCAACGAAACCCAACCTATTATATAAACTCGTGTTTTTGCAACCAAATTCCCGCGCGCGTTTAGCCAGAGCCCGCAAAAGCAAATATTAAATTCTCGCAAGTTGACGTTTAATTATTTCAAGATATATCTGACATACTTGTTACATAAACGTACACAGTGTCTCAAAATCACTGTTACGATAACGTAAAATTGCTTCTTTTAAATTATGTAAAGAGCCAGTACTTTTTCAATTAAAATTTATTTCAACAACTTTGTCGTTATACTTCTTAGCATGGATATTAAATTTTGTACATTAATTATTTAATATTAATTAAAATATATCATATTTTTTCTATTTTTTAAATTTAATTTACCATAAATTTTTAAATTTTATTTGATCGTATTTCCTAATATTAATGATGTTTCAATATTAATATTTATTAAAAATATCTGATTTTGAAACCTAAAATATAGATGAATTTGTAATTTGAACTGTAGTTTAACATAGACGCCAAAGGGAGTCTTCTTTGCTACTTTCATTTTATTTCTAAATAAAACAAACAAGAACATAAGATGCACAGGAAAATATTCCTGGTATATGAATGTTATGTTATATTAAAGCATCAATTTAAGCGTCAATTTTATAATTAATGTTAATGAACATTACGGGGAGGGGGATACATTCCGTTTTCACGTTCACGCGCTATAAACATCAGTTCATCCTTGTTGTCTATCAAATATTAAACAAGGACAAATGATGTTTACACGCGTAAGAGCAAAATGGAACGCATCCTAAACATATCAAAATAAAGCTGAATATAAACGAAGCTAAGTCTTCCAGCATGTAATCGTTTCTGCAAAAAAATAAGCAAACAAAAGCGCCAAGACCGCAAAGCGAAACCTGTCGACGCTCATAATGCCCAGCACAAAGACGCGTTATTCCGCCGAAAGAAATCCTCATAACGAACGTCACAGGCCGCAAAGGCTCGATGATTCTCCGGTCGTTGCCTTTGTGCTGGAAAAAATCCGCGCGTTAAATCTCATGCTTGTCAACGGACGCCATTCTTCTTCTATCTGCTCTAGAGCCCGACGCCGCCGCAATACGTGTTCTGGTATCACAATAACCGGATGATAAACTACGACACCACGCGCGGCAGCGTGACCGTACAAACCGATCCAGGACCAACTCAAAGCCGACTGACGATTCGCCAGGCAGTGGAGACGGACACGGGCAATTACACGTGCAGCGCCTCCAACACCAAGCCGGCATCGATCTTCGTCTTCGTCACCGAAGGCAAGTATAAGCAACGTGTTTCGTACAAAGCGAACTTCCTTAATCAATATAACCCCATCGCGATTGTCCCAGCAGTCTCTTAACTACCTTCTTCGAACGAATACCCGTAATGATCCTCGGACGAACAAAACTGAAAACTTGCTTCGATTCAAATCGATATTTTATAGACATTTGATAGATTATGTACTCGTATTCGAACTATTTTTTAAGCAGATTTTTAAAAAAATTCTCATTGAATATTTAACTACATCGAGATATTTAATATTGAAATTGCTGACATTGCGAAGAAAGATTAGGTACATCAATCATGATTTCATCACGAATACATCGGCTCGACTAAAATTGTCAGAAAGGGTCTGGCTGGAGAAAAGATACGTGATTTCTAACAGAATTTTCTGAGCCACGCGAAGAAAAGTAAATCCACTCCTAAATTAAAAATGTCACCATTCTGATTGAAAATATTTATTCTCCTCGCTATCCAACGTTTCTCTTGTATATATATATATATATATATTTTTTTTTAAAACCTTTTCCATAATTATATATAACGTCACGCACATAAATATATATACTGTAAAGAGATAATACTTTAAACAGAAAAAAAAACTGAGAATCTAATTTGAATCTAACAAACACACGCGAAAACTATACTAATACAATAATAAATATTTTTAGGCAGAGTACAAAGATTTATAACAATGAAAATCGCATTGTCCACGAGGGGACGTGGAAACAAAACATTTCCCCAAATTGCCTAACGTCCTTGTCCCAATAAAAAAATACGTTTATTTGACGGCAACATCCCAGATTCCGCTTCAACACACAGTTCCCTTTTTCCGATGCGAGTATTTCTGTTATTTCCGCGTTTTGCACACGTGGGTTGTACGTGGAGTATACGAGTATACGAGGCGCCGTTACCGCGTATTGTACGCGCGCGTGACATGCACGATGACGTGCGTGCGCATGAAAGAGAACGAGTCTCCTCGGTCCTTCAACGATCGATCACTCACCGCCGCCGGTCACCCTTCGATGTATATATATAGCGCGATTTAACCCCTTTCTAACAAAGGCTTGCGACTGGAGAAGAAGCCCAAGGCTCTTAGGCAAAAAGCGGTCCTTGTCGGCTCCGCGTTGCCGTCGGAAAACTCGCGCGCGCGGTGCTCCGTGATGACTTTAGCGGCGCCCGCAATTTTAAGTCCGCCAGGATCGCTGCGGTAATTGATGTGAAAGGATGAGGACAGAGTCGCGAAAATCTTAATTGGATTACGAGAAACTCGGTCGGCCGGAAGATTTATTATGCGGATATATATACAGAGAAAGAGACAGAGAGAGAGAGAGAGAGAGAGAGAAAGAGGAACGACGTCTCGATCCACGCTTTTGCGGACTTTTGATATATGCATGTCGCCGAGAAATTGTGGATCTCATGCGATCGTAGCTGCGATTAAACATGGAATATTACGTTTTAATTACGTTGGATAACCGGCATATATTCGTGATATGTATGTTAAATTTAACGGAATTGCTTGAATGTGGAAAGCGTCTTGTTTCTGTTTGAAGGTTGTTTCTAAGGCTAATATTTTATCTGTCATACAATAAATTTTTCAAGTGTATTGATTGATACATATCATAACATAGAGAATTTTTAGAAACTTGAGAACTATTTCTGTATAGTCAATCAATACATTTGAAAAATTTGTACGACAAATGAAATATAAGCCCAGCTGATATTTCATGTGTCGTATGACAAAGCTTTTGAAGCTTATTGATTGGTTACAGGACAAAGAAGTTTTTTTCTATCCTATAGCCAATTAAAACACTTAAAAAGTTTATCATACAACACATAAAATATCAGCTTAACATGGCAACGGAAGAAGGAAGAGAGCCAGACAGAGAGAGAGAGAGAGAGAGAGAGAGAGAGAGAGAGAGAGGAGACGAAGGAAGAGAGAAAGTAAATGGAGGAGCAATTGTCTTGCAATGCATTATTCGGCTTTAAATTAACGAGTGATGTATCGTTAAAAGGATTCTATGTGACGCTTTACACAGCAAAATAGAGCGGTTTCCGTCGAGACGATTGAATGAGAAATCGGTATAGTTCTAGCCTCTTAACCGATAACGCGCGCGGAGTCGACACGCGAGAAGCGGCGAGTCCATCGCGTGCGTGATAAACCGCTATACAAGCGTCCCTTCTGTTCCGCGAAGTACTAAGCTTTCAGGTTAAATTTTGAAGATATGGACTCCATTACCGCGGCACCGACGCACACCGGAATCGGTGCAAGTGTTCGTATGTACGTAGAGAGCCGCGCGGTGCGCAGCCCCGTAATTCACGGCCCCGGGAACATATGGAGCGACGCTTCGCGCCGTAAATTACGGTAAAAGTGTGCATGCACCGCGTTTCGGAGGAGACACGTATCGTCGATGAATGTTGCAAATCTGACGCTCCGTGCGCAACGTTGCGCACCATGAATTTTGATATTCGAGAGACAGGAAGAAAGAGGACGCGCGCGAGCGCATCGCCGTTACTTTTTTTTTTTTTTTTTTTTTTTTTTTTTTTTTTTTTTTTTTTTTTTTTTTTTTTTTTTTTTTTTTTTTTTTTTTTTTTTTTTTTTTTTTTTTTTTTTTTTTTTTTTTTTTTTTTTTTTTTTTTTTTTTTTTTTTTGATTTGCCTCGTTTGGCAAATTTACGACGGGATTATATCACACTGAGCACTCTCCGGGTGCAATGATATATCGATAGGCCAGATTAAAGCGGCCCGCAATATATTAATGACGAACGGCGACGTAACGCCAAGTCCAAATGCGGTCGTCAACGTAGGCGCCGCGACGCCGTGCTATTGTCGAGTCTGCTCGTGATGAAGTCGTGCGATGCCCTTACTATATAATTAGCAAGAGTTTTTTTTTATATGACCTATTCTTGTACGAGCTATTACGAAATCCTTCTCTTTCTTGCTGTAATTTTAAAATGTACACGAGACCGCAGAGACTTTTTTGTCTTTTTGCGGTCTAAATTATTTTTCACAAATGAGTATTTTATCTTCTACATCTAATAATAAATGACGAGTTTAATATAAATCAAAGCAATTTTATTATTTAAAGAAATTAATGGAGATTTGATATAATTTGTTGATATTACATCTAATGTTTCGATTGGAATGTTTGAAGAATTATGAGAAAGATTATCGTAAACGGTCATTACGTTTAGCCTGATACAGGACAAAGGATTAAACGATTTAAAAATTAACACGTTTTTTTGAATGATTTTCAGTACCTTTCCGTTTAAGTCACTAATAGTTTTGCTTAGAGATTCTCAAGTAAAATTCTGATCACATAGTAGTCTTTTCATGAGATAAATATGGAAATAGCTGTATATTACAGAGTATATAGGATCAACCGTATATGATTTACTATACATATATACTCCATAATAAAGAGTCAAATATTGTTGCTATATTGCATCGTGACTAGACTTGATAGAGGATCTCTAGCGTGTTTATAGCTTATATTATATGTGTATGTATTTTAAACATATATCATACAATAGTATATAAATTAATTATTATTAAAAAATATGATATAACGATGCTCCCACAATGTGATCATACTGATCATTATATTATACTTAATATCTAATATTTAAACATTAGTACATTTTAGAAAATATTTTATAATAATATTACATGTAGTGTGTCGAAAATAACGTCAAACGGAAAATTCAGTATGAGGCATATTATCTTCTGCGGCAAGGAATGTGAAAAGATTTCAAAGTGAGCTCGAAAAACGAGAATAAATTTCACTTTTGTTTGACATAACAGAAGTAAAATTGTTTTTTTTTCACTCAATATTGCATAATTTTTTTAAATTTTCGTACGGCAATAACTTCCATTCGGATTACAAAATTCTTTTCATATCCGACACAGAAATTTCATTGAATTACTCGCACACACTCGACATCTGTGTTTCACAGTGAGGCTCGGTTGCGTAACGTCACGACACCGACACATATCTATTTCACTCTCGCTCGCAACACGAGATGGAGGATTAATTATTACGGGCACGTGATAATGAGATGAAATCCCCGCTACAGGGTGCGTTGCCTTTTGACCGAGATTTTTGACCCCGTTGCGAGAAAAGCGTCACCGACGGTCTCGACGGATGTGCGTTAATAACGAATTAATAACAGCTCCTAAAGTATGAATTATTCGGTTATACCCAGGACACCTTGGAGCAGGTACAATTATGTGTATAAATATTGTCCGCAAGATTATTGCATTTCCCGATGTTACGCGGCGCAGCTGTAATGATAGATCGTCGTAATTACCAGTTAGTTATTCCCGGGCCGCTTAACTCATTGTTCCATCCGCTCTCGAGTTATTTTGACCTACTCGTACAGAGGACGTCGCAAAATCGTTAATGAATACTGTAGAACTTGAGACATCCGGGAAATTCGCGAGCTTTCGCGCGCGACGCGAAAGCCGGAAGAGGGAAATAAGGATAGAAGACTCGGTGTCGCGATAAATTATCTAAACGTTGCGCAACGCCGAGAGTAAATTGGCTTAGCGCGGCGATACTAGATAGCAATCTTGTTAAAGACGGGCGGACACACCTTTCCTACGTCCTAGTAAAGACGGCGGCACGTTAAACTCAACTGCTGAACTGAGCGTCGACGAAGCCCCGCAGCGATTCCCCGGTTCTCTTCTCCAGTTGTCATCAGCTCGTAAATCGATGTTTGCATCTAACGCGTGTATATTTCGACCTTTATCTTTTCTCAGCTAACCGCGAAGATCACTCGTAAACTCTTATTTTTGCTTTTCTGCCAATTATAGCGCGTATAAATCCACGTTGTCGCCGGCATTCTTACGACGGCTTTATCATAAGCTCCGTAAAACTAGCAAATGACTCATCTAATTTTTATACACTGAGAAAAAAGTTCATTAAATTTTAATGAATATTCCTTTGAATAGTCCTGGCGGAATATTTATTTACGGTGAATAAATGTTTAGATAA